TTTCGTCACTGAGCGGGGGGGCGCCAACAGGCAAAGTTACGCCACTGCATGTATCATGTAAAATGAGCTTAAACCAGATTCGGTAGATCATTGATAGATTAATTTAATGGGCGGTAAATATATGAGTTATTCTTTTCTCTAAGGTTTTGGTTTTTAAGAAAAAAAGTTACACCATAATTTTCAATTCTCATTTTTACTTATATAATAAAATTATATTGTTATTTACCATATGATTTTTGTAAACATTTGGCCGGTGTACCAAAAGCCGGTCCCCAAACTACCATACGTCAAAAACAGACGATCTGAAAACATACTTAGACTTAAAGTAGTACAGTGAAAGCAGGATTAATGAACGAATAGTGTGACATTATGTTCTCAACCATGCAAATTTAGAAGTCCCTACATGCTGTTCTTTCTGGCTCCATGTGCTAGTTAGGGGTCTGAGGTATCCGAAAAATCATGTTTTGAGTACCCAAAGTGTTCTGGGTGCCAGGAATGAGGTTATTAAAGCGGCGAAAATGACCGATTTTGGACTATTTATGAGCTTTTTTGCCCATTTTCATGAGATAAAGAATCAGGAAAGCTGCTCTAGATGATTGAAATGGTTGATACCAATGAGGATACACCCAACACACATAAATAATCGTGATATATGTGATTTTAATGAGAAAAATATGATCTCAGGGCCCATTTTATACCAAAATTTGCCAAAACCACTCGCACTTGTCAAAGCTTCCTCATTTTAGACACATTTAATGATTATTATGGTATCTAACTTATGGTGGATCTGATAGGAGTATGTCTTAGCTTCATTTTAAGCCATCAATGAGCATGCTGGTGTGTATGAAAGTACTTTAATCCTCCCGTCCATTGATATAGTCTGGGCAGTGGGCCATGCGCGCGCGCGTTTACAAACATGAATTTTCTCCCTCAGTATCTATCTAAAGCTTTTAAAGACATGATTTGAATGCTATCCTACTCAGCACATGAGTGCTACAGGATGGTGAAAGAATTTCTATAAAAAATCATTAAATGTGGAAGATATGAGGTCATTATATGTGTGTGCGCGCGCGCGCGCGCACGTTTACAAACTTGATATCCTCAGTCCTTCCACATATACTGAGATTTTGTTTCAAACTTAATTGACTCTGAACCGAAATTGCCAGAGGAAACAGATAGTGTAACTCAGAAAGACCACAAATGGATAGTTTGTGAGATATTGAGGTTATACTCCAAAAAATTTACAATCATGTCACACCAGAAAACCCCTATTTTTGGTATATTTAACCTCATATCTCAAACGCGCAGTACTGGATTGAGCTAAACTTGGTCAGGTTTTGTAGCCCTGACTATCCTCGATCATATGGAACAGGAATAAAACTGTTTAGATGTTATATCTTAATTGTATTAGGCACTTAGTTCTGAAAAGTGAGAATGTCATTAATACTGCTTTCACTGAGTACTATTCCATGCGGAATGCGGATACAATGTTCATGTCAGAGAGCAGTGCTGGTTTCTCTTAATAAATAATATTGTTTGTTTCGTAAAGAATAATAGTTAGTACTCCGTAGTAATATTATTCATTGTTTAATGAGCTGACGTGTCAAGGCAGGTCACAAACCTGTCAGTTTTCTCGATAGTTCGTATAGGCGTAAAATATTTAGCTTAAATTAGAGTATACTTATACAGTTACAATATCGAATTCTATGTATGCTACGGTTTATTTTATTTGTTGTGTAATCTAAAAAAATATGTTGCTTGTTGCTCGTATTAACTATAAAACTGTGCTCAACAGAACCTTACCCTTAAAAGTAAACAAATTGCCTCACTTCTGTCTATTGCTGAACACTAACAGAACCTTACTAATAAAGTAAGCAAATGTACCTCACTTCCACACGAGAATCAACATCTATGAAAAGTGACATCAATCTTACTATTCTGGAGTCACACCCCTGTCACAGTGTGTGTAAAACCATCTCAAAGAATTATCTAGATTTGTACAGCAGGGGCCCCGGTGAGACTAAATCCACCAATGTCATGGTTTTAATCGTTTTAGACAATAGCTCGGACAGTTAGAGAGCCAGGTTGTCCGGGGCACGATTAGAGAACAAGGGAAAACACGCTCTCTCGGCCTGGCAGGACCTATTTTATGATGCTTCGTCTCCCCGGATTTACATACCCAAGATAAACGTTATAATCTTTCTAAAACAATAGCTCAGATTGTCCCGGGCACGATTAGAGAACAAGGGAAAATATGCTCTCTCGGCCTGATGCTTCGTTCGCCACCCGTTCGCCAGCTACACCAAGAAGCTACGGTAGGCAGGGGCAGCAGCGGTCCCCGGATTTACATACCCAAGATAAACGTTATAATCATTCTAAAACAATAGCTCAGATTGTCCCGGGCACGATTAGAGAACAAGGGAAAATATGCTCTCTCAGCAAGCTCGCTTAGTGCAGCTCTTCTTCACATATATGTTTTGTCCCATTTAATGACGCTTCGTCCGCCTCCTACACCAACTGAAGCTATCGCAAAGAAGCTAGTGCGGTATACGTTGTGTAGGTGCAGTGGTATAATTTTGAGAATACTCATTTATGTAATCGAGCATTTCCTGGTTTAAAATCATTTGTCGATTGTAATTATATCCGTTGATACTTGTTATTAGTCTGCTTTAAAATTAGCGTTTTTAATTTGTCGTGGTAGAACTTATCGATAAATATTAACAGTACCATATTACATAAGCGACGTTAAAGTGAAACTAGAAATCAGTCTAGGTCAAATAACTCTCAAGAACGAGACAAGACTTCGACATAATGAAGAATTGCTTCACTTTATTGATAATACTATCAATACTCGGACTAACTTCTCAAGGTAAGACATGTGATATGATATGAAATTATGTTTTAATTAAGCATTGATCTCTCGACTCCTTTTGTCATAAGATACCTATCATATTAGTCAGATCATTTTCTTTCCTCTTGTTAAATTTTATAACATAACTTATTAACGAGAATGTACTTTCCACAGCGATCGAACTAACCGGAAGAAACGGAAAAGGTCTGAAGTTCGGCGACGATGGAATTAGCTACATTGAATATCAGCCGGACATGGGACCTTTCACAGAGGCCATGTCAGTATGTTCCTGGATCAAAAAGTTGCGGTCTGAACATAACACCATTTGGTTCGGATACTGCATGGGAGGTGAAATAGTCATATCAGATAGTGGAGGATGGAACTATTGGTTCGGATTTGGCCCCACTTGGCTTGACCAATTCGGATCCGTGCCAATAGGAGAATGGTATCATTTATGCTCAACTTGGAGTCGATCACTAAACACAGTGAGCATGTACTATGGTGGCGATCTCTTAAAAACTAGTTCAAAAGGTTCCACCGGAGTCCCAATTCCTCTGAATGGCTTTCTTGTCATAGGGGATGATTGCAATGGTGATGATGGAAACAAAGGTGCAGCTGGAGGATTCCCCTTTGGAGGAGAAATGGTGAAACTCAACGTGTTTTCCAAAGAACTCAGCGCGGCCGAAGTAAAAGCGATGTCAGATGCAGGGATAGGATCGAACATAGAGGAGACATACGGGGAACAAAGACACATAAAATGGGAGGATATCTTGCTAAAGCCAAGAATAGGAAATGTAGCAGAGATAAAGGTTTCAGCCGGTCCAGTTCTAGGTAACTTGACAAATAAACCGCGATAAAATCACAACCAAGAGATCTAAACTCTCTTAGGTTCCCTTAACGCAAAAACGCGAGGAATAGCGCAGAGCAAGCATAAGAGCAGTGGTTCTTGGCTCCTGAATTGAGACGATACAGGCTAACCGCGTAAACCATATAGCATAACCTTAACCAAGATATCAAAGCACATAATCGATAGTAGGATTAACTAAATCACTTAACATGGTAAATGTCTCTGAAACTAAGAATCCTGAATTGAGCAGAGACTCGGATTATTAGGATATATATATTATTAGTCAACCACAACTATCAGTAAAACAACGCCTTGACTTCAAATGTCGGTAAAATGTACCTTTACAGTCATCCTCAAATTATTTGTTATATAGTAGTGTTGAAAGTATTAATAAATATTTCGTTGCTGTACTCCTACACATTAAAAGTCGGTGTTGATTAGATCTTCGAAATTCTTTGCATCATTTATTAAACATCGTTATCTCAAATTATTTGTTATATAGTAGTGTTGTATATATATTATATCCCTCAGAATTGACAAGTTTATATATATATATATATATATTATATCTTTGTTTTCAGTGGCGCGGCGTCGAGCTAGTAATCGCAAGGTTGCTGGATCGATACCCGCCATCGGCAAAACCAACCCTGATGATTTGAGCCATACTGATGAGTCCTAATAGGACGAAACACTGTGTCTATGGATAAATATGCTCGCCTAGTTTACTAAGCTTGAACACTCTAGGGAATGAATAGATCTACCGCTCAGCTTAAATGCAAAGCTCCTAACTTGTAATGAGTTTGTAGAGCAGTCTGGTACCTATGTAATTCCCTCATCATTAAGGGCTTGGTGGCCCAGTGGCGCGGCGTCGAGCTAGTAATCGCAAGGTTGCTGCATCGATACCCGCCATCGGCAAAACCAACCCTGATGATTTGAGCCATACTGATGAGTCCTAATAGGACGAAACACTGTGTCTATGGATATATTATATCTTTATATATATAGTACAGATAAAAGTGACCATGATCGTCGTGTCAACTTGAACGATGAAACGAAAATTTCAACATTAATTAAGAACGCGCTCAAAATCACAGACACGAAAATTTAACTGACTCTTAATTAATCTTGAGATGAAATGAAAAGGAGGCCGATGCCAAAAATCATCGATGTAACGATATATCTGAGCTAAAATATATGTGTTTTATTATTTTAGAATTCTCGTTTTTCTCACGCACTAAAATTTGTTAAACCTCCAACATTCCAACGCGAAGGTTTGAATAAGCATGATCTGAGTTCACTTACCATCATAGATAACATATGCCTTATCGGAGCAGTTGAGATCTTGCCCGAACTTGTCAATTCTGAGGGACTGTGTATCCACCACGTGTATCTCTAAAAGTAAACAAGTTAGGAGTATTTAGGAGTTATTAGAAGTATATTTAACATTGTGTGAAGACGTTCAGTCATTTTACTCAGGGCTGGTGACCGGGATTGTGAGTACAGAGTGCTGAAAATAGCACTCTGTGCTCTAAACAGCATTTAAAGTACATTAATATAATTATACTGGAGTCTGGACACAAACTACCGTGCAACTGACCTGTAGCAAAGTGTTGAGCTAGAGCTGCTAACTCAATACCCCCGCCCCATATTTGTGGGTTCTGTATCCACGTGACATATTCCTCCCTTTTCTTGCCTGGAAAAACATGAATTTAGGCGAGAAGTGCCCAGTCTCATATTAAACCGCGATCTTTCAAGTTTTATATTAACTCAAATTAACTGGTGATTCGTGACTTTATAAAATCAGCGTATTCCTAAAAAGAACCTCTCCTAAAAACAAATAACCGTGTCCAAAGAGACACATATAAAAACGAATCTTTGAGTTTGACACAAACATCTCTTAAAATTAAATAATCCTTGAGTTTATAAAAACAAATCCTAAAGTAAGTTAAAAGATAACGAACCAAGCAGAACGTCAGGGAACTGGTCAGGACAGCTGAGGACGGTATCACCTACAACGCAACGCAGTGCCGTGGATATTGACTTTCCAGTATCACCTGTACACAACATTTCAACATTTCAACATTTCAACATTTCAACATTTCAACATTTCAACATTTCAACATTTCAACATTTCAACATTTCTAATTAATATTCCAAGGCTTTCGTATGATATTTAGTAGAATGCGCTCATAACAGCGCCGTTATGTTTAATTAAACAATCGTACTGTTAAGATAATTTCACACATATTATTAATAATATGTATAGTATATATACTACAGATATCATTCAGAACAAAGAAAATCAATATAAATTTCAAAGATATAATAAGAGTAAAATTAAACCTTGAAATACAAATCCGATACTGGCAAAGAGACAACTGTTATCTGCCGGAACTACCCTGAAATTAGTAGTCAATTATCAGTCATATAAGTTATAAGATCACGTATCAAAACAGCTGATATCGATACAGAAAAAATATTGAAAAAACACACGTGATTTGAAGAACATTATCAATTATATAATTAATAATAATAATAATTTGTATTATAATAATTAATAATAATAATAATTTGTAGTAGTGTAGGATTGTTTGAATTTCTTTTTGCTAGGTTTTATAATATTTATTTGTATAATTTGTGATTGTTCTCCCGGTTTTCTTCCCTTGCGTAGCAAGCCCTGTCTCTTGTAAAAACAACCTCGAAAGATTTGTAGATACACATAGTCTCTACACCTTTACCCTCTGGTCCCTAGGGTCAGCTGATCCCGGGCCAGAGGAAAACTACCGACTGCCAAGGTTTGACGCCTATGCAGTCGAGACCTCTTATTGAGACCCTTTATAATAATAATAATTATATGATATTATTGAGAGTATAATACACTGTAGATACTCTATATTTAGTTTATTATTCACTGGATACTGTAATAAACACTTTTTACCTGGTCCTCTTATATCTCTTCCCTTGCTATGCAAGCCCTGTTTCTTGTTTATACAATTTTTAACCCGTATATTGGGTAGACTGTGTATTTGTTATGTATTTTATATTATACAGTTTTGTGTACAAGTAATTATTGTTATTTACTGGACTAAGGGGTATACATGTGTTGGAGTTTTTCTCTTATTTTTCTTCTCTTGCTCTGCATGCCCTGATTCTTGTATAAACATGATGTTTGTTTAAATATTGTATATTCTTGTATTGATTGTGGTATTTGTGGGTCAGATTCAGCAATACCCAATGGGTACTTGCTGAATCACTGTTTTATACACTCAGTAGCCAGTCCCTGTGTTCCGTCCCTTGCCCTGCAAGCCCTGTTTCTTGATTATACAGCATTTATTTATCGTGTATTACATTGTAGTATGTAATAAACATTTGTAGTAGTGTAGGATTGTTTGAATTTCTTTTTGCTAGGTTTTATAATATTTATTTGTATAATTTGTGATTGTTTCTCCCGGTTTTCTTCCCTTGCGTAGCAAGCCCTGTCTCTTGTAAAAACAACCTCGAAAGATTTGTAGATACACATAGTCTCTACACCTTTACCCTCTGGTCCCTAGGGTCAGCTGATCCCGGGCCAGAGGAAAACTACCGACTGCCAAGGTTTGACGCCTAGGCAGTCGAGACCTCTTATTGAGACCCTTTATAATAATAACGCTTTATTTGTATACCGCTTAGGCCGTATAAGCGACCAAAGTCCAAAAAATGGAGTTGATACTGGCCAACAAAGCGGTGCAGATAAATTTACCTTAGTAGTCCCTTTTCTAATCAAAAATTCAAATTTATAAATTGTAGATTGATCTTAAAGTCCTGCGTCCATGACTACTGAATCACCAAAAATACTGTTCGCACATACAGGATAGGCTTGATGAAATAGATGGGTCTTGAGAGCCTTCTTGAAAACATCTAGTCGAGAGATGGAGCGTAGTGAGTAGGGAAGTGTATTCCAGATTTTAGGAGCAGTGTGAGAGAAAGCACCAGCTGTAGCCCTCAGCCTTGATAAAGGAGGGCGTTCCAGTAGGAAGAAGTCATGGTCCATTCTGACATGATGTTTACTAGTGTCCCTAATTTTGACCATTGTCCTTAGATATTCAGGAGCACAATCGTTTAGGCACTTGAAAACCAGTAACGCTATCTTGAATTTGATTCGCATTGCTACAGGTAAGAAGTGTAATTCAATCATATAGGGTGTGATGGGCTCCTGTCTCAACTTCCCGTGAAGTCCGAATATGAATCTCACAGCAGTATTCTGCACTTTTTGAAGTTTCTGGAGAAGTCTTTCAGAAAGGGCACCATAAGTAGCATTTCCATTGTCCAGAATGGAATGAATTGAAGCGTGTACCATTTGGATTTTGAGCTCCTTACTCAGTTTGGAACCTATTCTGCCAAGATTTCGCTGATTTACATAGCAAACTCTGACAACGTTGTTGATCTGTGCCTCTAAATTGAGATGGTTGTCAAAAATGAATCCCAGATTCTTTGCTGACTTGGTAGGTTTAATGGAGCATATGTTGTCAAGATTGAATTCAACTTGTTTTGGGGCTTTGGAGTTTGTAGAGATCTCGATTATCTCACTTTTATTGTCGTTGAGTTTCAGGTAGTTCTCACTCATCCATGATTTGATGTGCTCGAAACATTCTTTCAATTTGCTCTTCATAGATTCAATGGCCATGTCTTTTTTAGGATCAAATGAGAAGTATATCTGAGTATCATCAGCATATAGATGGATTTGGAGACCATGCATACTTGCAATATCTTGTAGCTGTTTAGTGTAAAGGATGAAAAATATAGGACCAAGAATTGAGCCCTGAGGAACTCCAATCTCGAGGTCACAGAGAGAGGAATATTCACCCTTAACACCAACGATAAAGGATCGATTTGACAGGTAGCTTGCAACCCATTGAAGAATAATACCACTAAATCCATAGCTATGTTCGAGTCGTCTCAAAAGTCTTTTGTGATTGATGGTATCAAATGCAGCTGACAAGTCAAGAAGAAGAAGAACAGTATGACTCTTCTTGTCAACTTGGAGGAGTATATCATTATGTACCTTGAGCACTGCAGTTTCACAGCTCATGTTTTTCCGGTAACCTGATTGATTTGCTGCGAAAAGATTGTTCTTATTTAGGTACTCGGAAAACTGTGAGTGGGCACACTTTTCTATAACCTTGGAAATAAAACTGAGGTTACTCACAGGTCTATAGCTTTTCAAGTCGTCTGCATCTAGAGAGGCTTTCTTTAGGACTGGTCGTACTATAGCAGACTTCAGAGCATGTGGAAAATAGCCCTCTTGGAGGGATAGGTTAACTATGAGGTTGATATGAGGGAGCAATTCATCGAGACAGTGCTTGAGGAGCCATGTTGGAAGAGGATCGAGTTCACACGACTTATTATTCATCGTCTTAGTAATCAGGGAAAGAACCTCTGATCGAGTAACTAATCTGAAAGCTGTAGCAGAGCATGGTAGAGAACTATGTGTATCATTAGGCATCTCTAACTCTTTTACAAAAGGTTTGTCTTCAGATTGACTATCAGCACTGGACAGGTTTTCCTCTGAGATAGAGTATAGACCCATAAATCTTCTTTACTTTATCGTCAAAGTAGTTTTTGAGACTTTTAATAACTAATTAATAACATAATTGTAAGATAATTGTACTCACTTTCTTACGATTGATCTGGATACAGCCCTCGGGGCTGGTTCACCTATACAAGAGAAAACGTCAAAAGGGCAATTTGGTTAATATTTTATTTATGTTTATAAACATGCAGCTCGAAACGCAGGTTAGAGTTTGGTCGATACTCCAGATATCTATGAGTGAAAACAATCTAAAACTTGAAATGTGCTTACTGGCTGGCTGGTTTGTTAAGGGAACATGGTTTGATGAAGGAGCAGATGAACCGTTTGATGAAGGAGCACCTTTCTCAACGTGTACTGCATCACCAGATCTTATTCCCAGGTTAGATAACAACGCTGACTTTTCCTCTGTGTCTATAAGTTTCGGGGGAAATCCACTTTTCACTGAAAAGCGATTAAATTAGAAATAACCTAAATACAATGAACTATTAAAAAATCATCATATCATGAGAAAATGAAAGCAATCGAAAACAATCTTATACAACTTAAATAAAAATGAACTTTTAATTGACAATCCATACATTTCTGAGAATTCATTTCAATCTGCGTGATGTTCTGAACAGCTGTTTGCAGGTCGCTGAGGGTACTCTCGGTGGTCAAATCCCTCAGGACCGAGCTGCCTCCGCTGTGTGTACATTTCAATATCTGAGAGAGATGTTTTTAGACAGAGTGGCAAATTATGATGTATTTTATATTTTGTTGAAAATCACGGCACGAATAAAATTATTGAGTTGTGTCAAGTATGGTTAATGGCTCAACTAGACTCACTTTACATAAAAATCATATTTTATAGACTACATTGTAAATGTAATTAAAACTTTGGATAATTATCTACTTACAATGTTAGGCATAGCCAGTATTTAAGAGGTAGGTCCAAGGTTGCTAAACAGAGAGAAACTAGTTGAACTCGAGAAGTAAAGTTATCATAGAACAAACATTCCTAGAACAGTCTGACAGAAGTATTAGTTTCGATCATTTCAAATTTAAAAGACAATCTTTGAGCATTAAATTCGAAATCACTTAAAGGATCGTACAATGCAATTTGATCATTCGATTTATCAGAATCTAAATTTATATGATTTTTTGTTCAGTAACAGGCGTTCATTAAATGTCAACAAGTTTTATAATCAAAACAATATAATCAAAAACAATATAATCAAAACAGATATAAAATGACCAAAACATGCGATCGAAAGAATCAAAGTATGTTATCTTATATGATAAACATACTGAGGAAGAAAAATCTGATAAAATTTAGTTCATTAACACAATCAAGATTTTTACATAGTTCAAAAATTGCTACAAAAATAAGAAACCTATAAACACAATGTCTTCGATAATACCCACGATTAAAATGACAGATGGAACAGTAAATTTAATCAATTCTAATAAAAGGTCGTTCACATATTACGAAATCACTTTTGGCCTAATTTTAACCCCCCCCCCCCCCCCCCCCTCCCTTCCATAATCACTTTTTCGCATAGCTATTGTGTTAAAATTACACTAACGAGATCATTTAGAAACTCCCTCCATTCCCTTACTTACCAGTGATTACGTATTATGTGAAGGACCCCCAATTCCCCCTTGGCAATATTTGCCCTCTGGAATCCTGGATTCGTACAAAATCAGACTATTAACACAATTACACCCAATTAAATTAACCATCCAATTAATTCGTATTTCTAGACAAAATATACGAAAACTCGTCTAGACATAAAGATGTGTGATAATCAAATAATAAATAAATGTTAGAACCGAAGTAGTCACTATAATTTTCAACATAACATCAACATGTAGCTCATAACGAAGTATCTTTAGGTTTATCATTTAAACGTGATGATAATCACCAAATCAAACCAATGGTACTGGTTATATCCATTTAAAACAACTCGCATGATAAATGATTATCTCGGGATAATCGCGTGATAGTCATTTATCACGCTCAAAATACGTCGTGTTAAATCTTCCCAGTCTGTACCATTTGATTAACACATCTATGATAAAACTGATAAATCAAATAAAAGAAGAGCGTCCCAGCCATTCATCCAGAAAAGTCTTGTACTTGATAATGAACATACAGGAACATATCTTCGTCATGGTGCTCCTGACAATACACTAGAGTCAGCAATATATTTACAGGACAGAAAAATATGACATTTTCATCTAGATACATGCTCCGATGTTAAAAACAATGTTAAAAACAATGTTAAAAACAATGTTAAAAACTGTTAATTTATTACAAGGCTCACATGATAAAGATCTCCCAATGTAGTGGACGGTAAAGGAGAAGTTCCTGATTCCCCAAGATGTACAGTTATACTCTCACTTTCCGTTAATGTACTTTCATCAAACATGCTCTTTATTCGATCCACCAGATTTACAACTGCAAAAAGGTTAAATTCGTGAAGAATGTAAGGTTCATGAAAGTTTTTATATCTAGAAAAAATCAACTCACTTAACGTTATAAAATTGTGACATTCCCCAAATTTAAGAAAAAGCTCACCTTTCCATTCCATAGGAACTGCTATTTTATGATTTTTTATCTTAACAATCCTCTTGCCAGTCTCGACCGGTTCCACTATAAGCTGGAAAGTCAGAAAGTGCAAATAAAGGATTGTGATAATCGAGGGGATATTTGTACAATACAATCGAGTACGTTTCGTAAATTTTTACCGTGGAAAAATGAGAATATTTTGGAAAAAATGAAGGTGAATAAAATGACTTTAAATGTAAAGCTCTTGGAATTTTAATCTCCTTACTGGTATGAAGCTCGGTCGAGCACGCCTGACTGATTCAGCTGACGATTTTCTATATTCAAATGGTCTGGAGTTTTTATAGCGAGATGAGTAATGTTTCTTTGTTAACCATACCATGCTGTTACTGGATATAAAATGTGTTAAAATTTGACATTTCTTAAGAATATTCAATGATTTTATTCATTAAAACTATTAGTTACTGTGTCAAACCTGAAACAGAATAATTTATTTTCTGTCAGAGACACAGCACCATATCAAATAGGAAAAGATCGAACTGAACTGTCAGCTTTAAAAACTTGTTTATTATCAGTTTAATACTGTTACAGTGTGTAAAATTCTCACAGAACGGTACAACTTTTGTGTACCATTCTGAAGGAATGAGTACCATTATATGAATAGTTTCATTCCTTAAGCAGTAAAATAACACAAACGTATTAAAGGATCAATGAATTAAACAGAAAATTAATCAAAACTATCATACAACAACAACGTCTGACGAGATTTACAACTGGTCGATAAAAAGCCAGATAAACAGTTATCATTTTAAAATATTACCCTTGAACTGACATGAACTCAATACGGCAAAGTTCTGACATTAAAGAAATAATAAGAAAGTTTACTTTTCGTATACTTTAACTACAGGGATCATAATTTTTAATACAAACAACATACATAACCCCAATCATGCTCTATCGCCAAAAACAAAAAATCTGTTTTAGCCAACTTAACCCAAGGTTATATTATTATTATGCTCACTTAGCTTGTTAATTTAAAATGTGAAATCGTCATGCAATTATACGAAATCTTTATACGAAAGATCTGAAAAAAAGAAAAGATAGTCAGCGTAGTGAATCTAACAAATACATACATCGTTTTTTGTCTTCCTAGGAGGCAATAAAAAATTAATTGAACCTGACCAGGGGGTGGCCAATAAAAATATTTTCATATTACTGCTAAAATTACTAAAACCTTAATTTTAATTAGTCATCGAGGTATCAGTTGTCGAATCCGCGGACAACTTTTAAAAACTGTGTATTTCTCTCTTGAAAAATTACGGGAAGTTTGGGTAAACACTCAGTCTGAATCAAACATATAAACAAGGAAAAGAGCGATCACGTGATATCAGATAGAGGGCTGAGGCGCATGTTACATACCAGCTAATTTAGCTGAGGCAGTATTGAAAAGGAGAATACATTGTCAAGTATCATTGTGTAAAGTCGGTATTTCAGGATAATGGTGCAGGTTTCATCTATTGTGTTCCGTATACACTTTCGTCGCTGTATGCGATGTAAATAAAGTTATCGTCCTCGTGGTGTTCCTGATAAGATAACATTGTTACGTAATATTTGGTGGCCAAATACGAAATAACTTTCGTATTTGGTGGCCACTTTTGTGGTATTATCTATACACAGGTGTGGCACAACAAACCATGTCACATTTGTTCGGAATGTAGTGAGTTTCGTTAACTGTACACAAACGCGCGTACGTGCGCGTTAAATACGCGCGGTGATATTCAGTAAATTGATGTAAGCGCGTTACATTTCGTCAACAGAAATAGGAAGCATTTGGAGAACAATAACGTTCAACATTATCGGACCACTATAAAGTACAAATTGTAGTGTGCAGCATCAGTCCATTGACATCGTCAATGGACTATATTCCGGCACCAAAACAATTCTCAACAACTCGATCCCAGCATACAAAGTTTGAAGACGTTAATGAATCAAATATCATCCCTTATCCACAATCATAAAAACACAATTAACGATTATTTTCTTACCTGATAAAGTGCTCCCATAGTCGCGGAAGTAGGAGGTATAACATTATTTACAAAGAAAAACAAAGCTTCGTCACTTTTCAGGTGGATCCGTTTCCTTATCAGATAGTAAAACTGTCCCACTGAGATAAAATAAGTAGATTTTAGCGCTCTTGCAGCTGTTTGTAATGTTTACAGTCTGTACAATACCATTACAGTGCTATTGCAGACAGCTTAACTGTTTGTCTTTGTGTATAGGAGCATTTAAATGTAAGCAGATACTGCGTTACTGCTGTATTAAGGCATTATATAAATTGTTATTTGTTACAAACGGAGCTCAAGTTTAGACTTGGTAGGAGGAGGACTATATTTATTTTACTGATTAGCTTCAAGCAGCGACCAATCAAATCTATGTCACGTGTCAAAACAAATATGGTTCACCCCCTACCAGTATCAAGATCTATTTATAATCAATAGAGAGAGAGTTTCAGTAAGATAAGATAATTACACTTCATAGTTCATAGTCCTATAAATTGTTATAAAGAACGTGTGTGCAGTCAGTACGATATCAAACTTACAAAACCTTTAATTTAGCTTTATCTGTACAACGTCGAAATATGCTCTTACTAAAACTAAGGTTTTTCAAAAAATTTGCTGCTTTGGAAAGTTCCGATTTTAGATTTTAGCGAAGGCGTTTCAGGTTACATCTAGGCAACTTCGAATGTGAAAGTTGCAATAATGTAACCTGTGTCATGACAAAGAATGCCATTCATGTTGCTATAAACTTACGAAATTATCGAACAAAAACTTAAGTTTTAGCAAGGTATGACTAGTTATAAAATGAGGTATGTGAAGTGTGATTAATAGTCTTGACTCAGCATAATGAACTCAGAAACATCATTAATAGATGTAAAGGACGCGCCCAACGGTAATCCTGAATCGAAGAGTGAGTAGATATACTGTATATATACTGTATAGCGAGTTCTCAAGAATAGTGAGTTCTGAAGAAACAAGAATAATATAGGAATAAAGTACACGTTGAAATCGAGAAGGGGCTGTTTCCTCTGAATTGAGGGGGGGCCTCGTTACACTTTGTGATCGACAAGGTGAATGAATCAGTAGGTGATCGTAAGAAATGGAAAGATATGATAAAAACTAGAATTCCTCAGAGCAGACTCCTCTAATGATTGAGGAGACCTCTTCAAGTTCAACTAAGTAAGTACTAAGTTAGTTGCTACACTGCACTATTAAATTATATGAGATAGTGAGATGGATAATATCTCAATAAAACAATTTGCTAGAAATTACAGATTAATAACGGAGGTGGGGGGAGCCGGGGGAAGGGGATTCGAAAATTATCTGAAACTTTGTTCCATTACCTCCACTTTTTTTCAAGATTTAAATATTTTTGAACAGGAATGTGTTAAAATTTTAAGTCTCAAATGACAACATGTAACATGAATATCGATGTAATTTTATATTGATAACATACAAGTATTGCATACCATATTGTTTACAATAGTGATGACTCCATAAATATGAACGAGGTACAACCATCGATGTAAACATGTTATCATGTGCAAAGTCATTTAAAAGTCATGATGTAAATCAAACAGTTGGCACATTTCCATTGCAATCTTAAATGCAAAGAATGTTCATTATGATATAGCAAATATGGGTATTTTGTTATTTAATCATCATCTACTAGAAATCATTTCATTTAATTACGGCATATTCGTCTGGTGATATGCCCCGGAGAGCAATATAACGTTAAGTCATAAGCATCAATATCAACATTACCCAACATTAATACTCAACGACATATTTTGTTGCCCAAGACACTGGCAAAGGAAGATCTACCAATTCTTTCACTAAAGTTACGCTCAAAACAGTTTATCAGTAAACCAGGTCTTGATATTACGGTCAAATAATCGGTCCAGCAGTTTTCTCGGTGGAAAATAAGCAAAAAACAGACATTTACCAATGAAAGAAATAATGCAAGAAAACAAGCCTATTCATCATTGGTTCTCCAGGCCACAATTATAGAAGCAAGACTGATCCTTGTTACACGATTAGTTTCGAACTATTTACCAGCTAGGTGAGCCTCCATATCTAACGTTTAAAGACTGATCCTTGTTACACGATTAGTTTCGAACTATTTACCAGCTAGGTGAGCCTCCATATCTAACGTTTAAAGACTGATCCTTGTTACACGATTAGTTTTGAACTATTTACCAGCTAGGTGAGCCTCCATATCTAACGTTTAAAGACTGATCCTTGTTACACGATTAGTTTCGAACTATTTACCAGCTAGGTGAGCCTCCATATCTAACGTTTAAAGACTGATCCTTGTTACACGATTAGTTTCGAACTATTTACCAGCTAGGTGAGCCTCCATATCTAACGTTTAAAGACTGATCCTTGTTACACGATTAGTTTCGAACTATTTACCAGCTAGGTGAGCCTCCATATCTAACGTTTAAAGACTGATCCTTGTTACGCGATTAGTTTCGAACTATTTACCAGCTAGGTGAGCCTCCATATCTAACGTTGAAAGACTGATCCTTGTTACACGATTAGTTTCGAACTATTTACCAGCTAGGTGAGCCTCCATATCTAACGTTTAAACAATACTGATCCTTGTTACACGATTAGTTTCGAACTATTTACCAGCTAGGTGAGCCTCCATATCTAACGTTTAAACAATACTGATCCTTGTTACACGATTAGTTTCGAACTATTTACCAGCTAGGTGAGCCTCCATATCTAACGTTTAAAGACTGATCCTTGTTACACGATTAGTTTCGAACTATTTACCAGCTAGGTGAGCCTCCATATCTAACGTTTAAAGACTGATCCTTGTTACACGATTAGTTTCGAACTATTTACCAGCTAGGTGAGCCTCCATATCTAACGTTTAAAGACTGATCCTTGTTACACGATTAGTTTCGAACTATTTACCAGCTAGGTGAGCCTCCATATCTAACGTTTAAAGACTGATCCTTGTTACACGATTAGTTTCAAACTATTTAGTATTTACCAGCTAGGTGAGCCTCCATATCTAACGTTTAAAGACTGATCCTTGTTACACGATTAGTTTCAAACTATTTAGTATTTACCAGCTAGGTGAGCCTCCATATCTAACGTTTAAAGACTGATCCTTGTTACACGATTAGTTTCGAACTATTTACCAGCTAGGTGAGCCTCCATATCTAACGTTTAAAGACTGATCCTTGTTACACGATTAGTTTCGAACTATTTACCAGCTAGGTGAGCCTCCATATCTAACGTTTAAACAAGACTGATCCTTGTTACACGATTAGTTTCGAACTATTTACCAGCTAGGTGAGCCTCCATATCTAACGTTTAAAGACTGATCCTTGTTACACGATTAGTTTCGAACTATTTACCAGCTAGGTGAGCCTCCATATCTAACGTTTAAACAAGACTGATCCTTGTTACACGATTAGTTTCGAACTATTTACCAGCTAGGTGAGCCTCCATATCTAACGTTTAAGGACTGATCCTTGTTACACGATTAGTTTCGAACTATTTACCAGCTAGGTGAGCCTCCATATCTAACGTTTAAAGACTGATCCTTGTTACACGATTAGTTTCGAACTATTTACCAGCTAGGTGAGCCTCCATATCTAACGTTTAAACAAGACTGATCCTTGTTACACGATTAGTTTCGAACTATTTACCAGCTAGGTGAGCCTCCATATCTAACGTTTAAAGACTGATCCTTGTTACACGATTAGTTTCGAACTATTTACCAGCTAGGTGAGCCTCCATATCTAACGTTTAAACAAGACTGATCCTTGTTACACGATTAGTTTCGAACTATTTACCAGCTAGGTGAGCCTCCATATCTAACGTTTAAAGACTGATCCTTGTTACACGATTAGTTTCGAACTATTTACCAGCTAGGTGAGCCTCCATATACTCTAACGTTTAAAGACTGATCTTTGTTACACGGTTAGTTTCGAACTATTTACCAGCTAGGTGAGCCTCCATATCTAACGTTTAAACAAGACTGATCCTTGTTACACGATTAGTTTCGAACTATTTACCAGCTAGGTGAGCCTCCATATCTAACGTTTAAAGACTGATCCTTGTTACACGATTAGTTTCGAACTATTTACCAGCTAGGTGAGCCTCCATATCTAACGTTTAAAGACTGATCCTTGTTACACGATTAGTTTCGAACTATTTACCAGCTAGGTGACCCTCCATATCTAACGTTTAAAGACTGATCCTTGTTACACGATTAGTTTCGAACTATTTACCAGCTAGGTGAGCCTCCATATACTCTAACGTTTAAACAGACCTGTCAGGTCGGAGGGCACTAGGTACTTCTTTTTGTCCAGTTCTTCGAGTTTTGCTTTAGGTGCCCGCTCAACAATTACCTGGGAAGTGTTATCATGTTCGACCTTAAACGATCAAGTTAATAGTCCTTGACACAAAACGAAACACAGTATTTACTACCCCGCTACTATGCGACAAAGACATTGTAAAAGTTGTTAGAATAAAAATGAAACAAGGATATCACCCAAAGTAAATTTCAACAGGGTTCAGGTAAAAATAAAAACTAACTGGAACTCTGTCTGGATATTTTCGTCGGATTTTTTCCCCCTCGAGCCTTCGTGCTTCAAAAGGGTTATCATCTTTGTAAGCCCACTTCATCACTATTAATACAGCTAAAAGATTTGATTGTTTGTTACTTTGAAATTAAGATCATTTTATTTTATAGATGAGGTGAAATGCTAACGAAGCCGGATGAAGCTGTAGAGTTTAAAACCAATTAGTTTGACAAGATCTCATTTCAACATATCATTTTTGTACAATTTACATTAACATCGTTTCAGTAGTGTAAATTGAACACTAGGCAACAGGAACGCATCCACCTTGCTTCTAGGACTGCCAAGGAAATTTTATGGAAAAGAATAGCATAAACTATTTTTAATCCAAAACTTGATATACGAGGCCAACACACTGTAAACAATGTTGCTTTTTACAATTTACATTTAGACGGCCCCAACGTTAATGTGGCTCTTGCTATGTGTTGGTTCAGCCGAATTAATTATTATGTAATCAAGTTTATTTTTCTCTTTTAGTTAGTTGTCATCCGGCCAAACATTAAGCAACTTATATTGCAGTACCATTTATCAATTAGTTCTTTAGTTTATCAAAATATGTCATTGTAATTTTGCATGGCTGAAATGTAACGCTTGATTTATATATATAATAATTAATTGAATTTTCAAATAAAAAAAATTAGTAGTGTTTCAGTAGTGTAACGAAATTAAGCCACTTTATTCTGCCCTGTTGACTGAGGGATTGTTCACAACTCACATGATACGTTAGTTAACATATGGTTGAGGCAACATGTAAGTGCGGTGGGTGCGTTAATTATTGTTAAATGTTATTATCAGCTGATGGCAAGTTGAAAACACGAGGGTGAATCTTGGCAAATGAATAATTCATCAAGCTGGAATGTAATCCATGGGCTCAACATATTGATATTTAGTCACTTTAGTCACGAATAGTTATTATATATATATATATAATTATATATATTACAGACCAGTCTCAAACCTTACATTCCTGGGAAAACTTATTGAAAGGGTAGTATTAAGAAGACTTAACGAGCACACCTTAGTCGGAATAACCTGCATTGTCAGGAACAGTTTGCTTACAAAAAACAGCACAGCACTGAAACACTCTTGATTAAAATTGTCAACGATGTCTTGATAGCAGCTGATGAAAAACTGCTACTGTGGTGATGCTCTTGGACTTGAGTGCAGCCTTTGATACTGTGGATCATAATTTGTTACTCCGTATCTTGAGGCAAGAAATAGGAATCAGAGGAACTGCTCTTAGCTGGTTCACCAGCTTCCTTAAAGGACGAAGTCAGCGTATTAGACTCGGCAAATCCGTCTCAGAAACAATAACTATCCGATTTGGAGTACCTCAGGGCTCTGTTTTAGGCCCAGTACTCTTTAACATCTATATCAGATCGTTATACAGATGTGTCAAAAAATCCGGTTTCTCCATTATTGGTTATGCAGATGATCATCAAATCATGAAATCTTTCAAACCCTCTGATCAGGTCAAAATCTTATCCAACAAACTGAGAAATTGCTTCTTGAGGATAAAGAATTGGATGTCTCAGTACTACCTGCAATTAAATGATTCTAAAACACAACTCATAGTTTTTGGACCTAAGAAAGTGCTCAACGAGATAGAACTTCATGGGGTTGAGATAGCTCCTAACACTTTGGTAATGTTTGTGCCTACTGTTAAGAACCTTGGATTAGTTATGGACAATCGGCTGGTATTTGATAAACAGATCGTAAATCTCAAGAAGAAATGTTTTCATACATTACGTAATATCAGAAAGATCAGATTTATACTGAGTCCCAATCAGATTAAGATCATCGTTAACAGTCTAGTAGTGTCATGTCTAGATTACTGTAACGGTTTGTACTTTGGTATTGGCGAGAAGCTTCTGCATCAGCTCCAGTTACTTCAGAATGCTGCTGCAAAAGCTGTCACTGGTAAATATAAACATGACCATCTTGATGATGACCTGATAAAGCTTCACTGGTTAGATGTAAAGAAAAGAATTGTCTTCAAAATCTTACTACTGTCTCACAAGTCACTGTTAGGATTGGCACCAAATTATCTACAAGATATGTTCAAGTATGCTCATCATGGTCACTCATTGAAGCTTATTGTTCCTTCTTGTAATTCAAAGTTTGGTGAGCGTAGCTTCTCTGTAGTGGCTCCAAAGATCTACAATCGCCTGCCTGTTACCATCCAGGCATGGATCCAGGGGGGGTGTGAAGGGGGTGATCACCCCCCCAGAATTTTCTAAAAACTAAATTGAGAAAAGTATTTTAGAGCATTTTAGAGCATTTTAGAGCATGTTTTCTCTGAGGGGGGGGGGGGGTAAAGTATTTATTCATCATGTGCTTACTAGAGGCGTTAAGTAAGATGTTGCAGAGCAGCACCATAAACTGGCACCAGGTCTGTGGCGAGGTTAGGACACTGCAAAAGATTATTGAGGGTCTGTGTGAGTCAAAGCATAAGCAGTACATTGACTCTTGTACAAAGGTAATAGAAATGATTGCAGAAGACTGCGCCATTCCTGTCAACAATGCTGACCCAATTCACAGGACTCGGATCACTGACTTCTGTGCAAAATTAACTGCTGACTCAGAGACAACCCAAACTAGGATTAAGAAGAAGACAAAGCAGGTGTGCGGGATCGTGGGCAGATACCTCTCCGAGAGGTTCAGTGCTAGCAACATGGAGTTATTGAAAGGACTGAGCGGACTTGACCCTTCTTCATCTGATTGGCTCAATAGTCAATTTTGACATCTTGAATGCCTTGATTGAGCACTATAGTGTTCTAGGGATCAGGCCCTCGATACTTAGGGCTGAGTGCTTGAAGATGCAAATGGCAGACATTCCACCAAATCCTGCCAGCACCCCTAACATCATGAAGCTTATGGATCTGAAGAGAACCATTGCCCCCACGAGCTGCGAAGCTGAGAGGTCTTTCAGCACTATGAATAGAGTGAAGACAGCTAAGAGATCCAAACTCTCAGATGGTAGAACAAGTGACCTGGTCCTACTTAGCCATGAAAAGGTTTTGACGAAGGCAATAGACATTAGTAAAGTTATAGACAAATTTGCAGAAAAACCCAGAAGAGTGGTTTTGAAATAATTTAACTGTTTTTTTTTTGTAACCCTACATTCTAAAATGGTTGAGATTGAACTGTTAATTAACATTGTTGTTTTACTCTAGAAACAGATTACAGAAGAAATCCCTTAATGGAAACAGCAATCGACATATATAGCGCGCGAAAAACCCCAAAAATTTTCGGGGGCTGCGCCCCCGAACCCATGCCATGGCTGATTCGGTGGCGCTTCGCGCCACCTCACCCCCCCAAAATTTCTCAGCTGGATCCATGCCTGTTACCATCACCTCAGCTCAATCTTTGGAATGTTTTAAAGCTTTTCTTAAAACGTACCTTTTCAAACTGTCCCCAGATGAACTTGAAAAACTTTATCGATAACTATTCTGGTCATACTTTATATTCGGTCTTTGCATAATAAATTTAATTACCATTTTCGGGCTTTAGTATTGACGTTATATTTTCAAGCATAAGTTATCTTTTAGCTCAGTATTCATGATATTTTCTGGGATGATTAGTTCAAACACTGCTGAGTGTAAGTTTTATCTTAAAAGCGGTGTTATTAAATTTCAATTTATTATTATTATTATAGTTATAGTTAGATCATGATATTATATTTTGCAGTAATTTTAGCTTATACACACAATGTTGTGAATTCTAATGTTGTAAAGTTACAATATTGAATACTCTTAGACACAGTGAAAGAACGAAATTTTGAAATAAATAGATCATCAATAAAATCCACATTTCAAAATTTGATGATAAATATAAACAAATAATGTATGTAATATACTCTCAACACTGCACCAGAAACAAAAAGTTTTCAAGTAAAAACCAAACATTTTATCTAGATAATAGACGGATTGGCAACATCATATCTGAACAACCTGTTTCACAAGCAATGAGAAATGTGTTTAATAAGTACTGTACCATATCACCATATCTCTGATTGAAGTGTGGTAAACTTACTTTGTATGCCACTGTCTAAGAATTGTGTAATTTTGTATTTTCAAATGCAATATACCATATCGTTGTGCCGGAACTTTTATAAGTACTGTACCATATCACCATGTCAGAGCTTAGTTTGATATGCAACACCAGCAGCACGACATAACTTTTATAAGTACTGTACCATATCACCATGTCAGAGTTTGGTTTGATATGCAACACCAGCAGCACGACATAACTTTTATAAGTACTGTACCATATCACCATGTCAGAGTTTAGTTTGATATTCAACACCAGCAGCACGACATAACTTTTATAAGTACTGTACCATATCACCATGTCAGAGTTTAGTTTGATATGCAACACCAGCAGCACGACATAACTTTTATAAGTACTGTACCATATCACCATGTCAGAGTTTAGTTTGATATGCAACACCAGCAGCACGACATAACTTTTATAAGTACTGTACCATATCATTATGTCAGAGTTTAGTTTGATATGCAACACCAGCAGCACGACATAACTTTTATAAGTACTGTACCATATCACCATGTCAGAGTTTAGTTTGATATGCAACACCAGCAGCACGACATAACTTTTCAAAGCTAGATAGTTTGTAAGTTAAAGTGGCGATGTCGTACACCGTTGAACAATATGTCTAATAGTTTGGACTCTGTCCTTCCTCTGGAACAAACGTTTTGTCTTTGATCCGTTCTCAGAACGTTTATTTGGGCTGTAGCAGTTGACGGTAAGGGGATGTAGTGCTCCTCCACTAATAACAGGCAAGTACTGTACTATATCCCCATATCTGAAGAATTGCTTTTGGGTATGCTGATCAATATTATGTATGCATCAGTTGTGATGATACGTTCTTTGTTCAAGTAAAACCTGAAGCACTTTATCGCCGACACCTGTACGTTTGGACTGTCTTGTTTGCGTTTTAGAATTATATGTCGAGTTTGAAACCTTGACTAGCGAAAGTAACCCCTTTTCAGTGAACACTTCCACAAGAGTTGATGGAAACTCCTTTACGTAAACTCAG